CACTTCACTATTTACAGTACATGAGCGTAGAGATTCTACAGTCTTTTTGATGTAAACAAGTAACTCCGCAGCAGGGGAGTCTGGAAAAAGAAGCCAGTTCTGAAGTATTTACACAATTTAAAATAGAACTTTTATACCCACCGGATAGATATAGATAATACATTGAGCGATTTGGTTAAATTATCTATGAAACTATAGAATCTGACAATGTAAAAATACAAGAAAACGTTCTCTCGTTTTAGAAGGTAGACAGTTAAATCACACTAGAAATAAATCTCTTTTTTAAAAATAATAACAATAATAATAAAGGAAAGGCATAAGAATCCATGCCATTTTTTAAGGTTAAAGTATATTACATAAATAAGGACACAATGGAACGGAACTGGGGAAAAAAATTAAGTGAAATATAAAAAACCGCTACCAATTAAAAAAAAACAGACTAAAAACTCGATTCTTAATCACAGAGGGATCAATTCTGCTATTTCTACTTACTCTGCAAGTAGAACATTGCAGAGTTAAGTAGTACTTACTCGGCATGAGGAAGAGAGGCAGAATTGGCCCCTAATAATTATTAGCAGTGTCCTTTTACTTAAAAAAAAAAAAAAAAAAGACAGAATTTAGCTTTTTTTTTTTTTTAATAAATAACAAAGCAGATGTGCCCCTTTTTAGGTGAAATTCTTACACCTTTCTCAAGAAATGCATCAATTTAATCTTTCTCTCTCTTTCTCACAGGCATACACACACTCCCTCCCCAATTCAGTATTTACTGCAGCGTGGCTCTCGGCTCAGCTCCGTGGCCGTGGGCACTGTGGCCAGGCCGCTGCCACCGCCCCTGACCCCAGGGTGGGCGAGGGAAGAGGAACGAAACCCAAAGGCTGCATTTGGCTCTGTATTGCTTGAGATTGTCAGGAATGGGACTACGACACTTAGAACAGAAAGGGTGTCAGGGCTCAGCTACGAACGATTTATCTCAGTATTCCGCATACCTCCAAAAAGAAAGAAAAAAAAAAACAAAACAGGAAAA